TAGGTCAAGATGTCCATTGGATGGCATTGGTGTCTTGATTGGCTTACATTCATCCATTTTGAACCTCTTGAGAAGATCATTGGTATATTTCTCTTGAGAGATGAAAATTCCTTCTCTCATTTGCTTGACTTGAAAACCAAGAAAGAATGTAAGCTCTCCAATCATTGACATCTCGAACTCCTTCGACATCAATTCACCAAACTCTTTGCAATAATCTTCATTTGATGATCCATAGATGATATCATCAACATATACTTAACAAATGAAGATTTCTCCATCAAGCTTCTTGGTGAATAGTGTGATGTCGACCTTCCCAATGGTAAAGCCCTTCTCAATGAGAAAATCCTGAAGGCATTCATACCAAGCTCTTGGGGCTAGCTTAAGCCCATATAGCGCCTTGGACAACCTATAAACATGATTAGGATATCTAGGGTCTTCAAATCCAGGAGCTTGATCAACATAGACTAGTTTATTTATGAAGCCATTTAAAAATGCACTTTTAATATACATTTGATATAATTTCATTTCATGATGCGATGAATATGCATGGAGGATACGAATGGCTTCAAGTCTTGCAACCGGTGCAAAGGTCTCTCCAAAATCTAACCCTTCAACTTGAGAGAACCCCTTTGCAACTAGTCTTGCTTTGTTCCTCACTACAACGTCTTGATCATCTTGCTTGTTGCAGAACACCTAATTTGTTCCAATGACTCTTGCACCTTGTGGTCGCTCTTCAAGAGTCCAAACTTCATAGCGAGTGAAGTTGTTCAACTCTTCATGCATGACATTTATCCAATCCGGATCTTGAAGAGCTTCTTCTACATTCTTAGGTTCAACATAAGAGACAAAAGAGTAATGTTCAATAAATGAAGCAAGTTTTTGAGATCAAGTCATTACACCCTTTAAAGGACTCCCTATGATGAGATCTTGTGGATGAGCTTGTAGTAGAAGTGAATTTCTTCTATCAATCACTTGAGGGGGAGGTTGTGGAGCATCAACATCTTGAGCTTGTGCCATCATTTGATCATGAGAGACATGAGTATCTTCATTTTCTACTCTCCCATCTTTATCACCATCTTATGGCACATTTGATGAAGAAGGTGGATCAATCACTTGTACATCATCTTCATTATCTTTAGGCTTGATGTCTTCAACCGGAATGTTCTTCATTGCCTCCCTCAATGGTTCATCACATATATCATCAAGATTCTCATGTGCTCCTTGGGAGTCGTTAGATTCATCAAATTCCACATCATTTGTTTCTTCAACCAAGCCGGTGGCATGATTAAATACTCGATATGCTTTGGACTTTAATGAGTAACCAACAAGAAAGCCAATATCACAACGTCTTTGAAACTTCTCTAGATGTTGCCACTTCTTGTAGATGTAGCATTTGCAACCAAACACCCAAAAGGAGATGTCCGGCTTCTTCCCATTGAGCAACTCATAAGGTGTCTTGCCAAGAAACTTTTAAAGGAATAGGCGGTTGGATGCATAACATGCGGTGTTGATAGCATCTGCCCATAGAGTTTTGGGTGTATTGTACTCATCAAGCATTGTTCTTGCAAGTGTGATAAGTGCCCGGTTCTTTCTCTTAACTACACCATTTTGTTGATGAGTGTATGTTGCGGAGACTTCATGCTTGATTCCAACTTCATCACAATAAGCTTCAATGTTTGTGTTGTCAAACTCATTTCCATTATCACTTCTTATCGTCTTGAGCTTCACTTCAAAGTCATTTTGTGATCTCTTGTCAAACTTCTTGAAACATGATGCAACTTCGGTCTTATCATGAAGGAAGAACACCCATATATATCTAGAGTAGTCATCAACAATCACAAGACAATAAAGATTTCCTCCCAAACTCTTGTAAGTTGTTGGTCCAAATAAGTCCATGTGAAAGAGCTCTAGCACTCTTGTTGTTGACATGAAAGCTTTTGTAGGATGAGTGTTTGCAACTTGCTTGCCGGCTTGATATGCACTACTAAGCTTGTCCTTCTCAAATTTCACATCCTTCAACCTTCTCATCAATTCATTCTTTATAAGCTTCTTGAGTGAGCTCATCTCAATATGAGCAAGTCTTCTATGCCAGAGCCACCCAAGTGATGTTTTGGTGAATATGCATGTTTTCAAGTTAGCATCTTCGGAGGTGAAATCCACTAGATATAGGTTGTTGTATCTAAATTCCTTGAATATAACTTGATCATCATCTTTCTTAGATACAACCACTTCCTTCTCGGTAAACAAGCATTGAAAGCCAAGATCACATAATCGTCCAACGGATAGCAAATTAAAACTCAAAGAAGCAACATATAGCACATTTGAGATTGAATGATCATTTGATATTGTCACTTTGCCCAATCCTTTAACTTTGCTCTTTGAATTATCACTAAATGTTATCCTTTCTTGGCCATCAACTTCTTCATTTAGTGAGGTGAACATACGAGGATCACTGGTCATATGTTGAGTGCAACCACTATCAATTACCCAATGACTTCCACCGGTCTTGTAGTTCACCTACACACAAGAGATCAAGATTATTTAGGGACCCAAACTTGTTGAGGACCCTTGACTTTCTCAACAAGTGACTTTGCAACCTAAATTTTCTTAGGCCTATTCTTGTTTGGAGGTCCTAAGAATATGACTTTCATTTTTCCACTAGAATCTTTTCTAAGCATGTAATGAGCATTGAAAGCAAAGGGTCTAGCATGCTTGGGCAAGGGTTGTGGTTATGGAGTTTGACACTCATGGGTAAAGTGACCTTCTTGTCCACACTCAAAACACCTCTTTGGCTTTGGCTTTGACTTGTGTTGTTGTTGGTGTTGAGCTTGTGCCTTCTTCTCTTGATGTGCCAAGTACCCAATGCCATTTCTATCCATCTTCATCACGGTATTCATGAGTAGCTCACTTTGAAGATGTTGACTTCTTGTAAACTTGCTCAAGCCGGTCTTGAGATGTTCTTTTTCAATTTAAGCTTCTCGTTCTCTTCTTTGAGTTCTTCATGATTTTTCTCCATCTTGAGTTTCTTGTTCTCTTCTTTAAGCTTTTCATTCTCAAGAGCTAGATCACTATCATGGTCAAGGTTCTCTATCACAATGGTGTTGGTGGTTGATAGCTTTTCAAGATCTTTCTTGAGCTTCTCATTCTCATTCTTGATCTTGACATACTCATCATAGTTATCGGACTCAACCACTTGCTTGCCTTTGCTACTAGAACCTTGCTCAATGCTCTCAATAATCAAATCATCACATGATGTAGCTATATCAATCTTAACAACATGGTTAGTAGCATCATGTGGCTCATTGGATAATAGCTCATGAGAAATAATAAGATTATCATGATTGATCTTGAAATTTATATATTCTTCTTTTAGCATATTGTAGCTAGTGGTGAGCTCATTATGTATCCCCTCAAGTTTATCATGTTTTTCTTTAAGCTCCTTCTTAGAAGATTTGATCTTATAGTTACTCCGGAGCTACCTAGTGCTGCAATATGATAAACTTGAGGAGTATGTTGGTACAGGTTCACCGATTCAATTAGAACAAGTTTTTTTTTTGAAGGGAAAGAGAGATTTGGTCGCTTAGACAGGGTAATTGGTACAATCATCACACTGATTTTTACTGCGTCTACCCTCAACCATAGTCAAACTCTTGGTAGTACCAAGTGCATGCTGCAAATTAAGAGCAGCACCAGAGAAAATATATGCAGGTGTGCCGATAGTAGTTACTCACTCAATTTAGACGGAGAATAACAAATTTAATTAAATTTACAGAAATATGTATTATTTCTTGTTCCATTTTCTTTTTACTTTCAAATTGAGCTAAGATCGAGATGTCTAGTTTAGAAATGCCATGTCAAAAAAAAATCGATTTTTTTTTCTTTAGAAAATCAAGAAATGCCTCAACCGATACTACATATGAAACATTATCCCTTGGTAACAGGCGGCAATTATATGTACGCGGGCTGATCTGTTACAGAAATGTATGTTGTTGCAAGTGGACGCGTGTTGAACATGTTCTTCCCACTACCACCCACGGCTACCTTTTCTCTTTGATCAGGCAAGTGGATAACATCACATGTTGGATTATTTTTGTGCGCATCCTCTCAGCATATTATTAAACAGAAAAAGCGAAAGAGCATTCCAGTTGGCAATAAGTGCCATGCATGCCTGATGACCACGTATATACAATATACATGAAAAAAACACAGACAAACAAGGCCAAGCCTAGAATCTTACAATCTCAGATGTTCTCCATATTGATCTGAGTCATTTTGAAATAATGCATTCTTTTAGCTAGGCAAAAATGTCAGATCATCAGTCATGTTGGTTTTTAATTGTAACATGAATACTGCTAGCGGTTCAACAGTCATAATATAGGAAACATAAATTTATTTAGTCAAATTGTATAGAAAATAGGTTCCTCCCAATATAATAATGGAGATGCAGGGGCAGGCATGTAGGAGATTAAATTAATGGGAGTCCATGAGAACATAACACAAGTTAAAATGGAAGTGAAACATTTATGTGAGTACTTTTTCTACACAACCTACTGGCAACAGCAAACATGACAATGCTCAAATATTTTCTGCCCTATATTAGTCATATAATGTCCACCCTCTCGGCTCTCGCTCAGCCTATTCCACTACATAACTTGATCAAAATAAACTTTTGCATCAAGTGTGCTATGTAAATGCATGACCCTGCAAAATGAATCAGATTTCAATTATTTTCCTTTCCAAAACTATAAACCATAAGGAAAATACCTTTTGACCAAGAAGTTCAATAGTTGCTTAATGCTTAAATCAGAGTCTACGAGATAAGGTTTAAAAGCAGTCATGCGGGCTGCTTGCCAAGCATTAAAATACAGCACACAACAGATTGAGTTTAATGAAGCACTGCATTGCAAGGCCTGAAGTCCTATAGTAGCTTAGATGTAAATATAACTTTGACATAAACTTCATGGTAGAGGCAGGCCAACCGGTGGCTATGTAGAGATCGATTATGTGGATGCTTCGCTCTCCAGACGAATCCTCTTGGTACCAACCTCGTCGCTAGCCGGCACCCTATTCTCCTTCGCTTCCACAGAACATCTCTTGTATGGCTTGAAGCCTGTTCGGCGCGATTTCAGCTTCAGGTGCAACAAATCATTGGGAAAGGAAGCCCTTGGCTCATCCATTGTGTCGAGGTCATGATCAATGCTTGTGGCATTCTTGTTGAGGTCAACTGCCACTGTGGTAACTTCATCTTCCTCCTCCTTGGGAACCTCCTTCGAGTCTTCTGCTTGTGGGGGAGAAAAGCTTTGCGGAAGCTTTTCTCTACTGAACAGCGCATCGAAAGCCAGACGACCCTGTCAACAAAAAAGTGAATTAGAAAGGCAATGCTGCATGCTGAAAGATTTGGACAGAGTGAATTAGCATATTGTTGGTAGATTAAAACCTCTTCAGAAACTTCCTTCCATGAATCACTTGTGCTTCCACTGCTTCTAAATCTGCGGTGGTTAGTGTCACCAGCTGAAGAGTTGCTGCAGGAGGCTTGCTTCGCCTTCTCATTAGCATTGTCCTCCTTCTCAGGAACATTGTCTGCATCTACATCACTACTTGAAGGTGTGTTAGAACCGCATGAAGAGCGATCCTGCTTTTTCTTATTCCTGAATGCATCACTTGTATCAGCTCCTGTGGTTGGTGTGGCATCAGCATTCTGGACAGGAGATATCTTTAGCTCTGTGTGGAGAGACACCTCGCCTTTTCCACTCCCATCAGACATTGAAGAAGCGGCAACTCTTAAACCTTCAAACTGTCCCTGTTTTCGAGCTTCTTGGCATTCCTTCTGTGCATTTTCAACTGGGCAATCTCTGTCTTTCTCTGAAGGTCGTGGAACATCAACTGTGGGAAAGGCAGCACTAGGAGCTGGTACAAATGGAAAAGCCATGGGTGGAGCGAAGAAAGGGAGAAGACCTTGTGTTGCCCACCATGCAGATGCTGCAGCAACTGTAGCTGATACAAGAGAAGCCATGCTTGGAGGAGAGCCTATGTTCCTTCCTTGAACACCATCTGCAGGGTTTTCTTGATTCGGATCGATAGGTGTGTTACCTTCAGCTGCTGGCCAGTATGATGCTGCGAGCCTGGCAGCTGCATGGATGGCAGGGTTTGACAACAAAGTGGAAACAAGCATGCTGGAGAAGGTGGATGACATGTTGACGAATGACCTGTAGGTATCTTGGTTGCAGTTGCACTGCATCATTGGAGCAAAGGCAGCATAATTATGAGGAAAAGGCTGTGGTGTGGCACTGCTATCAAATTTTGGATCTGCAGAAAGCATTGGATGGATGCATGGGTTCATGCTTCCATTGATTCCCACTTGATCACTTGTTTGATCAGAATGAGTTCCTTCAGTTGCAGTGACCGGAATGCTAGCTGTCCCATTTCTCTCCGCTAGGGAGTGTGAAGCTCTTGCAGTTTGTTTGTCCACATATATTGTCTCCACAGACTTTGGCTTTAGCTTCATTTGTTGCATTGAGAGATCCAAATATTCCTCATGAGAATGTTCACATTTAGAGCTGATTTGGATACCATTAAACCTTTCCATTTCCTGATCACTGATCTCCTTTACATCCTCTTGTGTGCTGGGGTTAAGCGAATTATTTTCCATGATGGTCATATCTCGGATTTCTGTTTTACTTGCCTCGATTCCCCTGGGTGCACCATGATTTGAAGAGCTTTTGTTAACTGAAGAAAATGATGCGGATGGGGCATCACGGAAGAGATTAAGAACTTCCGAGCAACTTCCTTTTTCAGACAACTCCTTCCTTTGAAATTTCTGGATGCAAGTGAGTTTACAATTAAAGAAAATTAAAGAAACTTATACAGAGGATAACATGTGTTCCTAAGAAAGCAAAATACCAGGGAGAATTACCTGAAGAGATGCATCGCCTGCCATTTGTACATTTCCATTGCCCAAGGGCATATTTGGTTTTGTTGACTTGTCATTTGGAAGTTCTTTGGTTGGTGTCTCGGAGCTGAGACCACTTTTTCGAGGATATGGACTGTTAGGCTTTCTTTTAGGCCGTGGTGGAGGTATGTCAATGTCATGGGCTTGCCCCGGAGAAGTACCATTGTTCATAGCTTCCTTTTCCAGCTGCAATTTCCTAATTTGTTAGGTACAGGCATTGAAAATAAAATTACATGCTTGAAGGAGATAATTAAGGACTTGAAACTGTTGCCAGTGACTGGATTTTGTTAGTCTCTAAATATATATAAACTTACAAGGTAACAAAATAAGTCAGCTTATACAGATTCCAGCCAATCAGAAACTAGTAGGATAATACACGAATCTCAGGGGAGGAAAGGTTAATGGCAATGGCACAGTTCTTTTCAGTTTGCACCAATTATAACTGGCTTATAGAAAAACAATGTTCAAAGCATGCAACATAAGTGGAATAGTTTAATGCCATTTAGCAAAGACATGAATTCACAGCTAAACCAAGGTTTTTTTCTTCAAGTTTGACATTTCCCCTGTCCCTTAGCTGAAACTTTCATATCATAGGTTATACCAAATTGGAAATTATGCTCGAAAGTTCAAGTTATGGAATCAGAAAAATGCAAAACTGCAGATATCAAACATGTGGAGAAAGAATTATCAACAAAAGGCTATTAGAAAACTTTAAAACAACTTAAGATGAGAAAATGCACTGTATTTTTGCTGATCTACAGACTAGCAAATGGCAGCTGGATGGAAAGGATTTCGCTGGCTACAAGCTTGTCTGAGGACAATGCACAGAAATGACGGATGCTAGGTGGCACCTGGTTAATCTTACTCTTAACACATGACTCCAGAACCGTTTATCTCATTGAATGTAGAAAGAACAGATAATGAAAACAACAGAAGAAAGAAACTGTGCTTCATTTCTTCGTACCCAGAGAGGGGGGCTAGCTGCAGGCCTGCCAGCACGGAGTTTGTATGTTGGCGAATGGCTCAATGACAAGGACAGAGGTAGGGTACAAAAATGTTTGAAACCTTCCTCTCCTACAGCACTACATTGCAGCACTTGCAGGATGAAACTGGGTGGTGAAGAACATGTGAATGAATGGAATAAAATACAGACAATGTACTGAAGTTCTATCTTTTACTGTTCATCTTTACTAATTGCCATGGAAGGGCCAAGAAAATCATAGCCAGTTTTTAAGCATCATTTGCTTTCTTTATGGACAACCTTCCATGAAAGTATAGCAATAATTACTCAAAACCTAGACCTAGACCTCACATAGGCAGCAGGCCAGGTAACACTCTTAGAAACTTTGGTGTGTGTAGGGGGTTGTAAGGGTTTCTTTTCCCTTTTTTTTCTTCTTAATATAATGATACACAGCTCTCCTGTGTGTTCCAGAAAAGAAACACTCCTGTTTCTCTTAAATGATCCTGACAGACAACAGAAAAAATCAAAATCAAATTTAACTGAAAAGGCACAGAGATTCTCTAATTGAAAAGTTTTTTTGGGCAGTTTTCCTTCACCATTAATTAAGTAAATAATGTTGATGGTTTTATGTGAAATCTTTGAAGTAAATTTATATGTCACAAATATTATCACCTGGCCTCAGATTGCCATGGTGAGGTTCAGTTCGAACTTGGAATGTCAACCATGATGCCAATCATCATTGACCAAGCAGGAATGCAGCATAGGGCCTTTGAGATTACAGCTAGAGGAACCTTGTGGCATTTGGGTGGATTGAATTGATATTACCAGAAATATAACTGAGGGAAATCAAAAGCAATGAACTACCAGACCTCTGTGTGTCGGTTGCTTATTCCGAGTTTGCACAAATAAAAGTGAAATTTTGTTTTAAATTGGCTACCACTAAACCAGATCCACAAAGAAGCCCACTCATGGTGGGTTTCAGCCCACAAAAGTCAACCAGTAGCTTCAGAGCTATATGGCTGTGATTACTGACTACAGCGTTGGTTTAGAACAAATATAATTGTACATCTGAAATGTGATGGTTTGAGGAAGGCCTAGATATGAACTAGTTAATGCCCCAAACCATTATGACGTTCCAAAGTGTTGCTTTCACCTTTTAGGCTCTCAATATTGCGGCCTAAGGCCTTACAAATTCTAGATAGACCAAATGATTACTCTCCAAGAAAAATACAGTGACACACAGCTTTCCAGAAAAAAAAAACATTAACATAGTGAATTAGTTACTGCTAGAATGCCTGCTCCAAATTCCAACGTTTGCTTCACCTGAGTGGAGGTTGAAGGATGGATTTTTTTCCCCACTCATCCATCTCTTCCCTGCTCCAACTACAAGTCAATTTGTAAAAAAAGGTAAAATGTTAAGCACCATATGTATCAATGAAGCTAAATTGTGTCACTAGTTACCCTTCCTCGAACACGCAGGAGAGTTGCGTATTGTTAAGTGTATATGAAGGCCCATCCTATAGACCCATATTACTAACCTTGCCATCCTTTCCCTTCCATGGAATTGGCAAAGATGCCATGGAGAGGGGAGCCAACATTTTTAATGGTTGTTCCATGGACACTCTTTTCAGGATTTGGCACCCCATCCCCATCCCCATCCCACTGACATGTGGGATCATCTATGCAATGAAAGTGAGCCAGGGTGGAAAATCATGAATTGCCAACGATATAAATGGTGAGCTCTTAAATTAACCCCATCACAGCCTAGCCCCTAAAAGGCCCAGGACACACAGGTCGCCCAGCATAAAAAAAAAAGGACAGAGGAAGGGGCAGTGTAGGGCATGAAAAGAAACTGGAATAGTTCTTCTTTGTTGCTCACATGATGTTATGTGTTTATTATTAAGTTGGTTTTTGTCTTCATCAAATCTAGCTTTCAAGCAATTTATTTGCAACTTAATATTTTTCATATACAATGTATAGTCTCAATTTAACAAGTTTTCATCCCATTATTGGTACTTCAGTCATTTTACACAATATAGATGATTATAAGCTCGATGACAGCATGTATACATAAATAAATGAACCAGGTATAAGCAAATTCGTAGCATGTTTTTGATGGGATAAGTCTCTGTGTTGGCTGGTCTTTGTGGGGCTGCAGCATATGGTACTTGTGGCTGCATGGTGGTCTTGCTGCCCATCAAGGACAGCATCCTTGACTGGCTAGGACAGCATCTGTTTTAGGACAGCATGTTAGCATCTAGCATCTTGGCATATGCTTGGCTGGCTAGCAGCCTATAAATATGTATCCCCAACCCCTCAGGTTGGCATGGCATTTGTGTGAGAAATAAACCAGAAAATTGCCCCAACTCCTAGTGTCATCCTCTCTCGATGAGAGTAAGAATTCTGCTGCTACCAAGAGTAAGAATTCAGCGACTAACAACTGGTATCGGAGCCGTACTATCCTGTAGCCTGAGCATCTCCTGCTCATCTCCTTTACTAGCCTCGCAAATAGTTTGTTGACTAGGGAGCAAAGAAGCAGCTCGCCGCTCCTGCTCCTCCTCTCCCCTCTCTGGTGCAGCTCGTGCAAGTAGCCCTCTCCCACGCAGCAGCCTTCGTGGCGCGCGTCATGTCCGCAAAGACAGTCTTAGCGCCGGTCGCCTCGAGCACGCAGCTTGCGTCGTAGAGGCCGAACTTGCTTGCAGCAGAGGAACAGCGAAGCGGCGGCAGAGACCGCTACTGGCGGCAGCAAGGGCGTCGAGATCGGGCGGCGGAGCTGGCAAAGTGACAGAGCGGAGGAGGCGAAGCGGCGGCGGCGGCGGCGGATGCAGAAGGCGGCGGCGGCAATGAGGTCGAGGTTTGCAGCTGCGCAAAGATCGCAGCTCAATTCTCGCCGACGCAGCAAGGCCGACGCGGACCTCGAGCTGCTAGGGAGGGAGACAACAGGAGCGCTGGTAAAGAAGATGGCGATGACGCGCCCATGAGCGCCATGGCGGCGGCAGCGACAAGCGCGGATGCCGGGCGGCGCTCTGGAGGAGGCGCGCGGCAACGGTCGCGGATGGGTCGATGGAGAGCGCGGCCTTCTGCGCTGTGGCTCTCTCTCCCGGATCGGTACCGTGGTTACCACGGGCTCAGTCGTTGTCGGGGACGTCGCCCCGGCGGTGGGTGGCCTACCTCACTAAGACCAACTACGTCGAGTGGGCTGCGGTGATGAGGGTAAAGCTCCAGGTGTGGCACATGTGGGAGGCAGTCCGGTACGGTGATGTCGACTACGGCCAGGATCGACGGGCGCTGGATGCCCTCATCGCTGCAGTCCCGTCCGAGATGCAGTTCTCACTTACCAACAAGCGGACTGCCAAGGAGGCTTAGGACGCCATCGCTGCGGCACGCATCGGCAGCGACCGCGCCCGCAAGTCCACACTGCAGGCACTTCGCAAGGAGTGGGAGAACCTGGCCTTCAAGCCAGGTGAGGACGCTGATGACTTTGCTCTCCGTCTCAACACTCTATTGTAGAAGATGGTGCAGTTCGGCGATGACACCTACGGCGAGGAGAGAGCTGTCGAAAAGCTCTGCCGCTGCGTCCCCGAGAAGTACAAGCAAATGGCTCGCTCGATCGAGTCCCTGCTGGATCTCTCCACGATGTCGATTGAGGAGATAGGTCGCCTCAAGGTCGTCGACAACGATGAGCCACAGTCTCTCTCGGGGCCCATCACCACTGGCGGGAAGCTCCTTCTCACTCAGGAGCAGTGGGTTGCCTGCCAAGGTGACCGGAAGAAGGGGGAGCCTTCTTCCGCGACAGGCGGCCGCAAGCGTGGCAAGCCACGCAAGGCGCGCAGAGACGCCCAGGCCGGGGCGCGAGGACGTGCCGAGGGAGATGCCCACGGAGGCGCCCAGGGCGGCGCCGCCGGCAAGCACAAGCCGGCACAAGACGACACCTGCCGCAACTGCGGCCAGCTTGGCCGTTGGGCCAAGGACTATTGACAGCCACGACGCGGCCAGGCCCACGTCGCACAGGCGGAGGAGACGGCTCTATTCATGGCACATGCAAGCATCGAGCTACCTCCAGCGGCACCGGGCGCAGCGGCTCTCCTCCACCTTGACGAGCCAAAAGCACGCGCCCTCCTCGGCGACGGCTCCGGCAACTATAAGACTGACGGGTGGTGCCTCGACACCGGCGCCACCCATCACATGACCGGTCGACGGGAGTTCTTCACCGAGCTTGACTCTAGCGTCCGAGGCTCCGTCAAGTTTGGGAATGCCTCCGGCGTGGAGATCAAGCGTGTCGGCTCCGTCATCTTCACCGCCGTGTCTGGTGAGCACAGGCTGCTCACCGGAGTCTACTACATCCCCGCGTTGAGGAACTCTATCATCAGCTTGGGACAGATGGATGAGAACGGTTCGCGCGTGGTGATTGAGGATGGAGTCATGAGGATTTGGGATCGCCGTCGTCGCCTTCTTGCCAAGGTAGCCAGAAGCGCAAATCGACTCTACGTCCTTAACGTGCAGGTGGCACAACCCCTCTGTCTCGCTGCTCGTCGGGATGACGAGGCGTGGCGATGGCACGCAGCGCCGGACACCTTTTCACTTCGAGGCCCAGGCTGCTCGGCTGTTACCGGAGATGGTGCGAGGCCTGCCGTGCCTCGACCATGTGGAGCAGCTCTGCGACGTCTGCGTGTTGACGAAGTAGAGGCAACTCCCCTTTCCTCAGCGGGCGAGCTTTCGAGCCAAGAAGAAGCTCGAGCTTGTGCACGGGGACTTGTGTGGCCCGGTGACACCGGCCGCACGGGAGGACGACGCTACTTCTGCGCCGCTTTCGTCGACGACCTCTCCCGCTACATGTGGGTGATGGTCCTCGGCAGCAAGAGGGAGAGGTCATGACGCCATCAGCAGGCTAGCAGTCATGCTGCGGAGGCAGAGTGCAACCGCAGAAGTGCGTGTCTGCGCGACCGACGACAACGGCAAATAATTCACGGCGGCTGAATTCGCGTCGCATCTTCTGGCCGATAAGACATTCTGGCGCGCCACTACTCGCTACCGTCTGACAACCCGCAGTGCAGAACGGCGTCATCGAGCAGCGCAACGCACGGTTGTGGGGATGGCTCGGGCCCTTCTCAAACAAAGGGGATGACGGCCGTCTTCCGAGGAGCGGTGGTCACCACCGTCTACATCCTCAACCGCTTCGCTTACCAAAGCGCTTCGGCGGCCAGGACGCGCAGACGAGACTTGGCATGGGCGCAAGCCGGCGGTCTCCCACTTGCGGGTCTTCGGGCGCCTCGTGTTCGCCAAGGATCTTGGCCACATCAAGCAAGCTTCGACGACAGGGAGCACTCCGGAGTGTTCATCGGCTACGCGGAGGGCTCGAAGGCCTACCGCATCCTCGACCAAGACACGGCTGTGCGCAAGACGGCGCGCGACGTTGTGTTCAACGGCGGGCGAGGATGGGCGTGGGACAAAGCGGTGGACGACGGCTCGGCTCGACGCACGACAACTTCACCGCCGAGTATCGCCCACTTCGAGGAGCTGGGGAGTAGGCGGCTCTTCTTCGACGAAAGCGCGTCTACCCCGCCTCTCGAGCCTCCACCGAAACCGGCGCTGCACTCGGACAAAGACCACGCTCTCCGGCCCAGACCTCGGCTGCGATGAGTTCTTCGCCGGCTCCACCACGGCCCAGCACCGCCACGCACTCCAAAGACCGACAGCACCTCTCCGAGCACGTCTACTCCAACACCACCGTGTCGAGCACACGGCCAGCTTGAGCTCGCTACTCGCTCTCACGACGAGGAGCGCGTCAACACGTACCACGCACGGCGAGCCGCCGCGGCGGTGCATTGACGATGGAGAACCTTCTCGGCGACCACCCGTCTGTCGGATCGATGCCTCACGACTGGAGGCGCAGCATTGCACCTTGCGTGTGACGACAGCGAGCCTCGGTCGTTTGCTAAGGCCGAGAGACACGCGGCATGACGCGCCGCGATGCAGTTGGAGATGGATGCGGTTGAGAAGAACCGCACCTGGGAGCTTGCTGACCTTCCTCATGGTCACCGCGCGATCACCCTTAAGTGGGTGTACAAGCTGAAAAAGGATGAAGCCGGCGCCATCGTCAAGCACAAGGCTCGCTTGGTGGCACGAGGTTTCGTACAGCAGGAGGAGGTCGACTTCGACGACGCCTTTGCTCCTGTGGCACGGATGGAGTCCGTGCGACTCCTCCTTGCGCTAGCTGCCCAGAAGGGCTAGCATGTTCATCACATGGACGTCAAGTCGGCGCTCCTTAACGGCGACTTGAAGGAGGTCTACGTGCACCAGCCGCCGGGATTTGCGATCCCCGGCAAGGAGGGCAAGGTGCTCCGCCTGCACAAGGCCCTCTATGGCTTGTGGCAGGCACCGAGGGCGTGGAATGTCAAGTTGGATTCCACACTAAAGGGGATGGGCTTCGAGCAAAGCCCGCACGAGGCGGCCATCTACCGACGGGGCAGTGGAGGAAATGCTCTGCTGGTGGGTGTCTACGTCAACGACTTGGTGATCACCGGCACTAAGGATGCGGAGGTGACGGCATTCAAGGAAGAGATGAAGGCCACATTCCAGATGAGTGACCTGGGGCCTCTCTACTTCTACCTGGAAATCGAGGTGCACCAGGATGACTCCGGGATCACGCTTCGACAGACCGCCTACGCCAAGCGCGTCGTTGAGCTAGCTGGGCTCACCGACTACAACCCAGCTCTCACTCCGATGGAGGAGAGGCTGAAGCTGAGCCGCGATAGCACGACGGAGGAGGTGGACGCTACGCAGTACCGGCGTCTTGTGGGGAGCCTTCACTACCTCGCCCACACAAGGCCGGACTTGGCATTCTCCATCGGCTACGTTAGTCGGTTCATGCAGCGACCGACGAAGGAGCACCAGCAGGCTGTGAAGAGGATCATCCGCTACGTTGCGGGGACTCTCGACCACGGCCTCTACTACCCTAGGTGCCCTAGGGCGGCACACTTCGTCGGGTACAGCGACAGCGACCACGCCGGCGACATCGACACCAGCAAGAGCACGAGCGAGATCCTCTTCCTCCTCGGCAAGTGCCTCGTTAGCTGGCAGTCGGTCAAGCAGCAGGTGGTGGCCCTATCCAGCTACGAGGCCGAGTACATAGCGGCATCCACCGCTTCGACTCAGGCGCTCTGGCTCGCTCGACTACTTGGTGATCTCCTCGGCAGAGACACTAGAGCGGTGGAGCTCAGGATGGACAGCAAGTCCGCTCTGGCCCTGGCAAAGAACCCCGTTTTCCATGAACGGAGTAAGCACATCCGGGTGAGGTACCACTTCATCCGAGGTTGTTTGGAGGAAGGGAGCATCAAGGCGAGCTACATCAACACCAAGGATCAGCTTGCGGACCTGCTTACCAAGCCACTTGGGAGGATCAAGTTCCTTGAGCTCTGCTCCAGGACCAGGATGGTTCAACTTTCCCACAAGACGACGCACAAGACTTAGGGAGAGAATGATGGGATAAGTCTCTGTGTTGGCTGGTCTTTGTGGTGCTGCAGCATATGGCCCTTGTGGCTGCATGGTGGTCTTGTTGCCCATCAAAGACAACATCCTTGACTGGCTAGGACAGCATCTTAGCATCTAGGACAGCATCTGTTTTAGGACAGCATCTTAGCATCTAGCATCTTGGCATATGCTTGGCTGGCTAGCAGCCTATAAATATGTATCCCCAACCCCTCAGGTTGGCATGGCATTTGTGTGAGAAAATAAACTAGAAAATTGCCCCAACTTCTAGTGTCATCCTCTCTCGATGAGAGTAAGAATTCTACTACTACCAAGAGTAAGAATTCAGCAACTAACGGTTTTTTTCAATTTCAATATGGATTTATTTAATCAGTTAATAAACAGAGCACTGAGGTCAAACAAAGAAATCATGAATGGCTCATGCTCTTCAAACCCATCACTGTGGCACACATATGTAAATAGAAAAATAATGCAGTAATGTAAAGACACTAAAAATCAGGAAATTAGCACAACAGCCATTGACATTGTCAGCAAATATAAAGTCAATGCAACTAGAATGCTAGGGCAACAGCACTGAACCAAACAAGGGCACTAGCCAATCAGATAGAGAAAGAACCTTGGTGAAGAACTTTTGAGCATGACTTCTGATCTGCACGGCCGTCTTTGTCCCAACATGCTCTATGGAGCAATTCGGAAGCCAAACAAACAAAAGAAAAGTGCAATCAGTATCAATAAGCAAACTAAATCCACATGAATAGACCTCAGTGGTTACAGATTGATGAAGTCAGGAACAATAGCATAAAACTACTTGGATACAATCGCTATGGAGATTTTACCTTCTATACGCTGCCATGCTCTGCCATAAAGTTTCAAGGCTTCAAGGAACAGTTTGTGCTCAGCCTCTGTCCACCGCTCCCGCTGCTTTGTTATTGTGTATGGCTTTCTTACCTACAAACAACAGTGATAAAATGTTCCTTCTTTACCACAAATCAACAACCACATTATAGAACTCACCTTTACCACCGTTTCCTCACCAAAGGAATTCACCTCCATCTCCAAATCCGGCAAAAATAAACAGAAACAGAAGGGAAATGTGCAACAGCTGTTCGCTTTGTCACTTGGAGTTGAGGTTATCAATAAACAAGAGAACTCCTCCTTCCATATCTCCAACCAAACGCTGGATCTGACGCAAGTAGTACCTCATATCTCCTCCTAGACCTCTATATCACACCAGCACTCCCAATATTTCAATATTTCAAATTTGTGCGCCCAGACCCAAAAGAGCAGCCAAATTAGTGTTAAATTTACACGAGAAAACCTATAGAATTCACAACTCTAGTTGTGAATTGAACTGGGATCAGAATCTTCAAAAGGATCAATTCCACTCACCTACTTGAATTGATCCAATTGCCGTCACTCTGCATAAACACGTTAAGATAGAGCAACATCATTTAAATATTCATGTGCTTCCTTTGAAATGTAAATTACCGCTTGACTACATTTTTTAGAGTGTCTATACAACACCTCGGTGTTTTAGGGCTCCTAAAGCCCAATTTTTTCAGCCACCAAATTTAAGATCTATAGCTCATATCTTGTAGTAACAAAAATAAAAACAAAAAGTGAATGCAACTCTAGTATAAAGTAACTTAATTCCAATATAAACTGACTGTAACTGAAACAAAAAAAGTCAGGTTTTAGGAAGCCTTAAAAAACACCATAGAAGCCATAGAACCCAATTCTCCCAATCAACCAGGAACCAATATCAGAGACTCATATCTGCAAGAAACAGATAGCTCGCATGTCCAGAAATTTGACTTATGCTGATGCTTATGCTGATTTGTTGTGAGAGGAAAACAATGTTCGTTCGTTGAAAAGTACGGCTAAAGTAGTTCAAGCGAACAGGAAAGCAACGTCGCTCAGCAGCAGGAACAGTAACACAAACATCCATTTGACGTCCTAAAGCACAACGCTGAAATAATATCTTGCTAGCCTCACCAAGGAAACACTCACCCCCGTGGAAGTTACCAAGCACACACCGCGACGAACAAATCCCAACCGCCGTCCTCTGCAAAAGAAACACAGCGAGAAGCGGCATAGCTCATTAACAACTACTGTACGTTACCACTCATCAGATTCTCAAATTGCACAACCAGAGATCATGATCCATTCCACTGCTAAATTAAGCATCGAAAACACGTAGCCCAGGAAGAATAAAGTGAAAATAAGGGGAATCGCCATCTGATTGCAATCACAAAAGTACAACAGAGAACATTTTGAAAAGTGATTTTCTGCAGGGCCAAAAAAATAGTGCTAGTAATCCGGGCATGTCGCGTGGACTAGAAACAGAGGTCCGTGAATTTTAGCTAGGGAGAAGCAGCAGTACCTCAGCAGACGCAGTCCAATCGAAATCGAACCCAACGCAACCTCGGTCCGCGCCGCCTCGCTCCCCCGTCCGTCCACCCTTCCCACGCACGGCCGCCTGCACCAACCAGCGCACCCATTCGATCGAGCGTCAGCTCATTCATCACAGGGAACGCCACGAAGCCGCAGCGCACAACGAAGGCCCGATTAATTCCCACCCACCTCAAGCGACCGCCACGGCGGGCATCACCGGCCGCGCCGGCGCCGCCGCAGCAGTGGCATCCGCGCGGTCCTCCCGCTCCCCGGTTCCCTCTCCGCCGCCGCCACAACCACCACCACTCCTCCTCCACAAGCTTATCGGTCGATCGGCTGGCTGCCCGGGGATCTAGCTGGACTACGGAAGCAAAGCAAGCAGGCAGGCAGGGTGGATGGAAGAGGAGGCGGAGGAAGATGAATGAATGAGAAGAAGGCTCTCGGCTCTCGCGACTTCAGAGGTGCTTTGCTGTTCGCTGTCTGCGTGTGGTGCTGTATGCTGTGCGCCGCGCGGGCCGCGGAGGGGAGGGGCTGTGGCCTCCTGTGGGGGTCGCCATCGCGGCGAGCGCCGCGAGAAATCTCAGCCACTATCTTTTCTTGTGGATTTCTCGCGCTCCGGCCCCAGAAATCTTGCGAGCGCGCCCTCCAGCATCCTCGGAATTTCAGCGTCGAGCGAGAATAGTTATGCAGAGGAATGTGCTGCGGTCTGCTGCTGGCTGACTCAGGGCGTGATTGTCCAAAGCGCCATCCGGCACCATGTGATGCACTGTGTCTCTGTGTTTGGTTTCCTGTGCTGAATGAAATCGATGCATCGGACCATGCATTTGAGGCCCTCGTGCAAGCTCGCAGCGTACGCAGAAATCAAGCTTCCCATGTGAGCCAGGATGGTATGGTGCAACGCATGACCCAGGACCCATGTGTCATACATTTAAAACCCACATTTATGCATGCAGCTAAACAATATGCTATCTCATACTGGACCAACAACAAAGACAACCAAACATGACTAAGTACACGGTTTAAACATGTATCTCACCATCCTAGATCAGCTCTCCATCCCGGCTCCCCTCGCCGAAGCAACCAATCACGCCCTCAGTGACTCTTCTCCGTCTGTCTGTGTCTCGCCCTAACGAACCAAAATGGATGGATGACTTTGGTAAGGTGCTGAAGCTCAAGATTGGTCACGCTCATCCTGCTGCTCAGCTTTTTGAAAAGTACGTGTAGAAGTGAGTACTTATTGTGTTCAGGGTCACTCGGAATAGATAATTCCAAATTATAAGTTTTTTAAGTTTTTTTTTAAGAGTCAAGACATCTCAAGTTTGAATAAAATTATAAATATTTATGATATTAAATAGGTATACTATGAAAATATAATTAATAAAAAATCTAATGATCCTTATTGGGTATTATAAATATTTTTATTTTATTATATAAATATGGTCGAACTTGAGATGCTTTGACTCCTTAGAAAATTAAAATGACTTATAATTTGAGACGGATGGAGTACCAATATACGATTCATCACAGAGTTATGAGGGTCCAAGTACGGTAGCCCATCATGTTTACGAAGAATAGACTATTTAGGTACTCATACGTTGAGCATCTAAGTTTAAAATCTTATACCACTTTATTTTGTTTTTTGGCTTGTCTGATTTGTGTAGGAATCCAGGTTCTCTTAAAAACTTTTCAAATTTAGATTTTCTCTATAAACGTTTCTCTACTAAATTAGAATCATTTTATGGAACTGTTTGGCTAACTCGCTAGAATTTTTAAACTAGAACAAAGAGAAATAATGTTTTGGATATTTCTTTGGACTAGTATAAAAATGAAAATAAGTTGCAAGTGATTCTTCCTAAAACATTTCTCTCTTTATATCGTTTTGGCAACGTTTCTATTGATTCGAATGAGAATGTAAAATGTTTCTTGCTTGTGGCCTTTCATGTTATCCACTTGAAGAATGTATTCGTTATATTAATATATTTTAAGTGAAGTTTCTACATGATGAAACTTTGACTATTATTTATTTATTTTATTTTTTGTCCAAACACTAGAGACACATAAATCCATATTAGATAACAAACACAAAATGATTCATGGAATGTTTGAAGAGGCATTCTAATATCATTTCATTCCACCGTTTTTTTTTGCGAGACCCGTTACCGACGCAGATCCTCATATACACGAGTGCACACTCACCAGTATGAACGCACGCACGCACACGCTAACCCTATGAGCACCTCCAAAAAATTGAGTTGGACCAATTGATCTCGAGATTGACGAAGTCACCACAGACGTCTCGCTGTCGACGGGCACATCACCTAACACTGAAAGAATAGCGTCGTTAAATCCTAAAATAAATTCAGTAAAATGCGAGCACCCGTGTCATGAGAGGGGCTTGAACTCGGATGGACATGTTCCACCACGAGGAACCCAACCAGCTGAGCTATGCTCAGTTCGCCCACGGGTTTGAATACGTCATCTGCACGTAAGGATTGTATCCTTTTGTGCCCTAGAATATATGCAATAGTGGCATATGTTTGTTGCATAACGCATATTAGAACAATATTTCTATATTTTTCAGATTTAAGTAGGTGTGTTGGTTGCTAAATAAACATCGGAACATATGTAATAAGAATAAGAATATTTGTATGGAAAAGATGTTGGACATAGTTGAAGTTCTTCGATCTATATAAGACAAGTAAAATACAAATTATTTTCTCTTCAAACTAGAAGAAGCTAACTAATATTTTTATTTCCTTTTCGAAGCATTTCCCTCTCAAGAATAAATAGACATTAAACAGCAGACACCAATTTACCAGACTGTTCTCTGAACAGTGAAGTCCACAGCCAGGAAACCTCCACGGTAGCCACACGCAAATCTAGGCTTCTGCAGGGACCCTCCCACAAAACCCAAAAGGTCACTGACAATAATGAATAATTTGCGGCTGGGAACGCCCGAAGTGGCCTGCGCCCCCCTCCGCGCGGGGCCCACCTGGCGGCCAACTGGCTCCCCTTGCGCTTTTTCCAGGGCACCCGCGAACCTGTGGCCGCCGTGCCCCCTCCCCCGCGACGCGATCCGCGCCGTCCGTTCAGCCCGCGCTAGCGCTCCGTGAACCGTCCGATCCCCGCGCGGGAACTCGTGGCCAGCGTCGCGCGGGGCGCGTGGACGGCGGCGATGCGCGATCCGTCACATCGTACGGCTTCCGAAGGGTGGCGCGGGCCGAGGTCGCGTGTGCGGGTGTAAAGGATGCTGAAGCCTGTGGCGGAAAAGCGCACCAGGGGGTGGGCCCCCGCGCGGGCTGCGCCATTGAGATTGCGGAGGGCGTGCACGTGGCGACTAGACGCATGGGAGGCGGGGGAGTACGTGGGGCCCGCGGGTTGGACCGGTGGCTTATCCTTATGGTGCCCGGTAGGACGTGACGTGGCGGGACGCTTTCTTTATTCGTGGTCACGGCGACGCGAACTCAGCACAGGGCGTAGCTAAACAAATTCAAAGTGTGCTTTTAACTTGGGTGTATATAAATTTTTTATCGTATGAATGCCTACTTTTTTTAACCTGGGAGTATAGATTTTCCTCCTAGCTAGACCTTAACAAATTAAGGCCGGCTTGCCTCAGCCCGAACCCTCTGGATTTTGCCCCTTCAAACCCCCCCCCCTCTACGAGCCTTTAGCGGACAGGGCTTGGGCACAACTTCCGCTGCTTAGAATTTTTTTTCTTGGTCTGAGCCTAACCTGAAATATTTATTTTAGACCCGCCCTGAGCTCGGCCCGAAAAAATAGGCCCGACTCGCCTAGTGGAATGATCATGGGCGGGATTATTTCGGGTTCACCCCAGTCTGGCCCGCAAAATGCTCAGGTCTACTCTTAGCACAGTAGCATACCAACGCAGATGACAAGCTTCGATTGCTGGGGCAATTGCTAGTACTATTGGGATAGGGCATCAAAATAAGATATGGATAAAGTAAATAATTGTTCTTGATGAATTGGCTAACATCCAAATTATAAGATGTCTTTCTAGATACATAATTTTTGCTATACACTATATCTAGATGCATGCATAGTAAAAACAATACATTAAAAAAGACAAACCTCCTTATAATTTGAAATGGAGGGAATACATAACAGTGGACTTAGAGGCCGTCTCATAGAGCTTCACAAATGAATTTTATGAGTTCAAAGAGAAGGGGTGAGAAAACGATGTTATTGATTCACGAGGCGAACACCTTGTGAGCAAAAGTTTAGGACTATAAAAAGTGTGTTTGGTCTGAGAAATGGGGTTGGACGCGATAGGACATCTTTTTTTATGGTGTTTGGTTAGAGAATAGGAGGGATGAGGTTATCCCCAATAGGGAATATCCCTGTGAGTTTTGGGACATCCTTGCCCAGAAACATGCGAACGAGTTCATCCCTGTCAATGCCACTTTTGTCGTCTACCACGTCTCGTCTTCCTGCAGGCGGACGGTGCAGGACGGGCACAACCGAACCAAGATGGAGGCCATGGTGGCGTGTATTCAAGCGGGAAGCGAGGCGGAGTAATGTGGATGGGCTTATTGGGCCAAGCAGGGCAGAGCTAACGTTGAGCTCATCCATGGCGCGCATGAGGTTGTCACCATCATAGAGCTAGAGACAACCATCCCAAGCGCGCGTACAGAGCCTCGGTGGGCCCATGAGGTGGTGCTATCTGCGAGGTTGGTGCACTGGAGTGGGTGAGGAGTACATCGTGGGTCGAGAACATGTGTGTAGTATGGATGGAAGGGAAGAGACTAACAGCGTGAGGCCCACATTAACGATAGTTGATGAAAAACAAATTTCATCCATCCTCTTCCTCCCATCTATCCCACCAAATGCAAAACAGGAACGTTCTCATCGCTCAACCAAACAAAGGTATGAGATCATCCTATCTCAAATAACTTGGATGACTCTATCCCATCCCTCGTTATCCGTAAATCAAACGTAACCTAATACAACTCTTTAACAATTGTACAAAGTTGTTGTCGTGCACCTCACAATTTCCCCCCGTTTATGGCATAAACTATTAAGGATCATGGAATTACTATTTTTTACAAAGTTGATGTTGTCATGTACATCACAAAAATTCCCTGTTTACTGCATAAACTATCAAGGATTATGGAATTACTTTTTTTTAGAAAAGGGAAATTTCATTCAAGAGATACCATCCATTATTATAGTTGTAGCCTTTAGTTATTCTAACAAGCTCAATAAAGTAACAAGGAAGAGGGGAACGGCATAACAAAGTACAAATGACACACTAAGCCTATTAAAGATAATAATACATGATTAATTGGCAAAGGTTTGTATTGCCGCAATCTCCAGTATTTGACAAACCCATTTTCATAATCGGTAGTGCTAGCGTCCGGACGTCTAGACGGACGTCCGTGTCCAGACGGCCCCGCTGCACTTGGTTACCCCGCTTGTGCTTGCACTCCACGCACGCGCTCGAGCCAGCACGCCCCCACCCGCGCCACCCAAATGTCGCCCCGCGCCCCCAGACCGCGCGTGGGGACCGCTCGCGCCTTCTCTGCTTTTCGCGCGCATTGCAACATGTGCAAGACTCGATCTACTTTTACAACATACAGATGGAACACTTGCAATATACGTCTAAAACAGCTGAAATATTTGCGACATACGTTTGAAACACTTTCAAAACACCAGAAAAACTTGAAAGCACATGTGTAGTCATTGCAAACATATGCAAACATCAAGACAAAACACTTGCAATATAAGTATGAAAACACCTGAAACACGTGCATATATATGCAACCTCCCGATCTAGTTTTGCAACATCCAAATGAAACACTTACAACATACGTCTGAAACAGATGAAACATTTAGAACATACACTTGAAACATACGTGTATAGCCATTGCAACATGTGCAACATCGCGATCTTCTTTTGCAACATCGATATAAAACACTTGCAACATACCTTTAAAGCATCTGAAACACTTGAAATATACACTTGCAACATGCGCTTTCAGCACAATGTCACCTTGTTATTTGGACGAATGGAGGCTCGCCATTGCAGAGCTGAACGCCGCGCAGAGGTTGGCTGCGGCGCATGGAGCTCGTGGCGACGCAGAGGTTGCCGGTGCGATAGCAAGGCAGCGTCACACGAAGCTCCTCCCCTCGCTTGCTTGCTGGAGGATCAGTCGTGGAGACTCGCTAGCTCGATGGAACGGCCACGGTGGGCGGATGGCGCGGTGCGGGGAGAATAAGGAAGCGGGACGAGTAATAGGAGTTGGGCAGACGCGGGCATGCGGTAGCAAGCATCATTGCCGGAGGCGAGACCACACGGGAGGCCTCTGAGTACGGGTCTAGACGCGAGGAGCTAGGAGCTAGCCTGTGACTGCAAAGCTACGAGGGAGGAGCGGTGTGCAGTGGAGGCAAGACCATGTGTGACATTTGCCATAGGCAAGTTGCTTAGGCCGGTTCACAGTCCTAGCAAGCAAGCATCCGGTGCCCACACGTCCTGACCCAAGAATTACCGTTTCATAATGGGCCTGTTGTCCCATTTTGATATGTAGACTAGAAACATGTTCAATAGTAATCCCACAAATTAAGTAAAATAGGAGGTGTTCGTTTGAGATGAATTTAAACCATTGCAGTTGCCGGAAAATGGCATAGTGCATACACCGAATACCCTAATAAACACATGAGTTGTTGCACGAGTCAACTCAAAACTAGACCATTATTATATGATGAGTTGCTTAATTGTCTCAAGATCATGGAGCATACGCATAGTAGCTGTATATAGGACAACACGAACGTATATTTGGCCTAAACCCGTCCAAGATGAGTGTATATACTTGTAGAAAAATTTGCTGATGTCAAGAAAAAAAAAGGAACTGAATGCAACCGTTTCCCAGTTCTGTAGGAAAATTGATTGATGATAACAATAATAACAAAAAAGGAACTGCGACGACGACGACTGTTCCCCTAAAAGAACGTACGACCTTGTGGTTAGCGTGAGTTGATGACTGTTCCCCTGGATCTCGTGGTGCTGTGTCGTCCAAGTGTAGGACACCGCCGAGGCCCGAGGGTAGCAGCAGATGGTGCTGCCTTTTGGGAGTTTGTGGTCCATGATCTTCGCATTTCCGTTCTCTTCTCCTTCTCGTTGAAACGTCAAAGCCTCAGAGGCGACACACAAGCTAGCTAGGTGCAACAGGCACCTTCTACGCCCTAATCATCTTTAACTCGGCTTGTCGGATGGAAGGGGACGGGGAACACGATTCTCTCTCTCCCACGGCCCAAGCAAATTGGAACGAGGAAACGAGGAGGCCAGCACCGTGGGGAGGACCCGATTGCAGCCCGGGCTGCTCGCTCGCTGAGCCTCCGGGAAAAGGACGCCGAGAGGCCATGTGCCTCCCTCTTTAGCCACATTTTGTTTATCTTCGGCCCATGTACGGGTGGTGGCCCGGATGTGGAAGCTAGCAACGTTGTACGGGTGGCGGCCCAGGTGTGGAAGCTAGCAACGTGGGGGAGACTGCTAGCTCCCTGCTCCCTTTTTCTCTTTTTTTATTCTCTTTGCTTGTTCCCTGGAACAAGACCTAATACATTTTGTAATCGAATTTTATATTATCACTCCAAGGGAGCTGCTTTAACTCATATGAGTAAGGTCTGTGAGTCCAGATCACATACATGGCATGGAGGGCGCATGGGTATTCTGCGAGTAAAAGCGGGTCTGAAGAAACCTTTCGCTCTTCTATACCTAATAATAATAAAAAGATAAAATTTTAGCCTTTTTCTTGGTCTGGGCCGTTTTTCGTCTGGCCCATTCTACTAGCCCAGCTGTCCCACTCGCTCAACTGTTTCACTTAGCTCGCTTTCGGCCCACACGCGGCCCACTCCACTCGCTCGCTTGGTTAAAAAATAAATCATCTGTCCGACGCTCCTCCTCCCGTACGCCGTACGCGCGCACGACCGGAGCTCGAGCGAGTCCCGGTGGCCGGCGCTCGCCGACCGCGGCCCCGCCTCCTCCCCCGCTGCGGTGGCGCTGCCCATCTGCCGCGGCCTCCCGGAGACGGCGGCCAAGCCCGCGCGAGTCTCGGCGGCCGACGTTCGCTGTCCGCGGCCCCGCCCACTCCCTCGCTGAGGTTGCGCTGCCCATCCGCCTCGGCCTTCCAGCGGCCGACGGCAGACGCTCGCCGTCCACGCCCCCGCCCTCTCCCTCGCCGCGGTGGCGCCGCTGCTTGCCTGACCGCCCTCGCGAGGCCCATCCGTCTCGGCCTCCCGGCGGCTGGACAGAGGGGTCCTCCCTGCCCCAGGAGCGGTACATGGCCAGCCTGCAGTTGAAGGTGAGGAAGGTAAAGCCCAGCGATGGTAGCCACCCCGAGCGGCCGTCGCGGTCCATCCTCTTCCCGTCCGTCCGAACGGCACTAGGTTTCCTTCTCCCGTTATCCTTTCTCTCTGAGTGGCGCAAGGAGTCCTTGATGATGAGGAAATTGGAAGGAAGAACGGAATCGACTTGGGTCTGCGATTTCCATGATGTATTCAATACAGGTTTATCTCTTTTCCCTTATTTCCTTATAAAATAGCTCGTGAATCTTTCTTGTTATAAAACAAATTTAATATTTGTTCACAGAGAAGTCTCTGCATCCCGAACCAGATCTTGCAAGGTTTGAATCTTGGTCTCGCCGGATTAGAATTGACAACAGGGATTAGGTGAGTTCCATATACTGAAATTATATCACTCTTCTCAGTTGAGAGAGGGGGAGACATAAGAAGACGGCATTGGACGGGTCTGGGCGATTAGATGCCTGGATTATGGTTTGAGCCTCTTTGCAGAGGTATTATAGTTTCAATCGATGCTTCTTCCATGTGTATTTGGCCCAATTGTATGCTTGCTGGTTCAACATGAGCACTTTCAAGAAAATTCATGGGGAGCTTAACAAACTTCTGGAAGTTTTCTTGTTCCTGTTCACAGGATTCGGTGAATTTGAGAGACTGATATGACATCAGCCACTGTAAGTTGATTTCCCTTCTTTAAATAAACACTGATTTCTCCTATATATGTCTGCTCCTATAGTTTCAGAACTGAAGTGGAACAAGGGCATATCTTCTGAATTTATGGCCTTCACGCTGTGGCGGCGGCAAGGCCACCGTGATCGCCGCTGAGTCGAGCTTCGCCATCCTGTCAGTGCACGTCCAGCAGCAACTACTGCTCCAGACCATGACACATGGTTAGGAGGGAGGAGGCACCAGTTGAGTGATGAGCCGCTCGCCCGGCCAGGAAAGCACACTGAGGTAAGTAGCCGATTCAACCTTGAGACCATTTGTTCAGGTTAGGAGCCAATTCCTTTTATTTTGATTAGAGACTGGACATTGCAAAGAGACTATATATAGAATTGCTCTGATGAATGAATCTCCAGCACCAGTTGTAGCTATGAGTTCAACAGGTGTTATGACTTGTGCAATACCAAGAAGATACCTGCCACTTATATTGAGCATAAACAAGTGGATTTAGAAAATAACCAATTCTTGAATAGCAGGTCTGGTATGTCAGTGAAGGAATAAAACTATGCCTAATGTAGCTGGCATTCTATGTTACTGAATTTGACTGAAAACAAAGGACAAAAGCTTAAACAAATGGAGTAGGAAAGTAATATATGCTTATTCTTTCTCGAGTTCCTGGTAACATATGTTACTGAAGAAAAGGAGTTATGCCTACAAGTTTTTAAGTAGCAGTCTAGGAATATTTCAGGAGCTCCAGGTATTAACTTATTTCTCTGCATCACTTACTTTATTTCATAAACTTTGAGATTGCGGTTAGAGAAAAAAAATGGTTTAGAAATCAAATCTTGAGCCAACTATTCCATGGCTTATTTAGGGATTTGGTTTCAGAAAATAAACATCTTTTTGAGTGTGCGTGCATGCACTGTGTACCTACACATATGTTGTTGGGCTCATTGCATGTATGAACTGATTTGCTCTCCTTTATTGCTCTTTTATTGGTAACTAATGCTGTCTGGAATTTTTCTTTCATACAGTACTCAGAGATTATGGAGAAGATTGACCGCGATGTAAAGTGCACCACCCTGACATGCATTTCTTCTGTACAAATGCCAATAGCTGTCTCTTCCACCAAGCTGGTAAGAAACAAGACCAAAACTTGAGTTATAAATCCAAACTATTTTCCAGGGAGTAACTATTGTTTACCAAATTGTGAACATAACCCCTGCTGAAATTTGTGTAAATTTTCTTGTATTTGATTCATACAAGTGTGTGAATTGGAATGCTGGTGGTCTGGTTGTTTGAATTGTTAAAATGCAATCCCCGATGATCACACAGATTTGTGATGCAAAATTGCTATAAAAAGTTAAATAGGTAACTGCAAGTGCAGACACTTTTTAGCTGTTTATTTTAATAGATGATAAGGTTTCATCTCCTCCAAAGCTCTGCCTAAAAATTTTCCTCGATCTGAATTTTCATTGTGATACTCGATTTGGCACATTTCAACTAAAATTGTTTATGTTTCATTGCAGGCGTGGAGGGAGGGAGGGCTAGGTGAGCACCCCTTAAGCTTTGTAAACCCTCTAATGCAAACAGGGTTCCATGTAATTCAAACAAAAATACTGACTCAAAGACTTCATCGGAGGTGTTGGGATCGGAGTCACAGGACATGGCACTGTGAACCATGAGTATGTGCTCACTCTCCTAGCATGGCGTTTCTTGCTATGCCTGTTTCCTTCAATCCTTCCTCTCTCATTGCCGCCTCTTTCCTGATCCATGCTCCAGATGCCTAGATGACTTTGCATTTGGAGCTGAACTTCAGCCTATCATTGTCCTCCACTCCTCCTACCTACTGTTGTCCAGGTGCAGCAACCTCGCTGTCAGTGTGCTCACTGGGAGTATAAAGCTAGGCCCTTGACAGAAGCTGAACTCAAGTCTGCTGCTCCGAATTATCCTCTCATCGGTAAACCAGCAGTGGTGACAAATGATCCCAGGAAACATGACCTCAAGTGCAGGTGCGTTTGTTTGATGTGAACCTACCATGGCTCATCCGCCAGCTATATATCTGTATTGAACATGCTATGATTTAGATGCTACTCAACTCAGATATGTGTGTGCATAGATATTTTTTTGAATTGTTACCATGAATTGGTGCTAGCCAGTTGTTTGATGTTAATTAATCCTGTAGTGGTATCGTGTTGGGGAGCCGACGGTTGTTGCCTGTGCAAGATAAGGGAGATAGAAAATCATGGAAGAGAAGAGAAGATGTGAGAGAGTGATGCAGCTGCTTTATTTATTTATTTATCTATCTATGGTGACTGCCGACTGTGAGCTAGAGCTAGACTGGATATTTGAAAACTGGTTACACAGACTCCTCAGCATCTGTAATGGCACGTGAGTTTTCGAAAATGAATCTGTATTTTGAGGGACATATTTGATACAAGTATATGCTGCCTCAGTAAATGAAAGTAGCAGACTCAAAAATCAACTTTATAGTGGCGCAACAATTTATACGTTCTGTTATAATGCATGGACACGTTTGCTAGATGATAGAGAGTTTTATTACAAGACAACAAATAACACAACCACTCAATAAATATTTGACTCAAATTACCTAGGTGACTGAACAATAATTTATACATCTCGTTGCAACGCACGGGCATATTTGCTAGTTAATATTAGGTAGTGACATATATTACTTTGGTCGTGACATCGGTTTTATTTTTTCGGTTGTTTCATTACTTTTTTCTGTCTGTTTGTTTTTATTTTAATTCTTTGTTTCTTTCAATATATTTTTGAGCTCTTAATATCAGTTTTTATTTTTCTATACTTCAATTTATTTTTCCATCTACTTTTTTTTTATCCCTTCCTTCTTTATTGCTTATATTTCAATCATCACATAAGCATGCTTCAATTTCATCTTTGTTTCGTAATATTTTTTTATTACCTTGTTACATCAATAATTCAATTTGTTTATTTTGGACGTCGTTATTTCTATTTCAGTTTATGTTGGCACATTTTTGTAAAGCTGGGAAAATTTTCGAAAGCAAGAACACTTCTCTTTATAGTCGGAGCATTTTTCTCATGAAGATAAAATGTTTTTTATTTTAGGTTGGAATGTTTTTTATGTGAAGCTAGAACAATTTCTTGTGAATGTAAGACATTTTATTGTCAAGCTAGAACTTCCTAATTTTATGTTGGAACATTTTTCTCATGAAGCTGGAACGATTTCTTTGAATCTAGGAGTTTTTTTGTTGGATACAACATTTTGTTGTGAATGTAGAACATTTTCCTCATGGGCCCGGAATATTTATTTTAAGCAAGATCATTTTTTTATATGGGGTATAACATTTCTATTGATGAACTAGAATAGTTTATTTACAAGCTAGAATATGCTTCATGATATTCATTATGCACTTCCTCGAGTCATTAACACTTATCATTTAGAACAAGGTTTGGTCAAATATTAAAAACTGCAAACATCTTTATTCAAAACTTTGGATTGTTGTTGAAAAAACTCAGTGGTCAAAGTTGCATATTTTTTAAAAACTTTGTATTGTTGTTGAAATAATGTTCTGTACTCCTTGGACACGCGCCGTGTCCAGGTTCAAATACGCTTTTTTGGGACGGAGGGAGTATATATTTTTATTTCCTAGAAATACATTTTCTTGTTCATTCTTTCTCTCTTAATTCCTATTTTTGGTGTTGTCGTGGGCTCTCGCTGCTTCTTGTTCTCTTTCAATCATTCATTTCCCTTTTATGGGCATTGCCGGCCCTCAACAAATCCTTTCTCGGTTTTTGTGGGCTTTTGCTGCTTCCTGGTACATGCATCCATTTTCCTTTTGGGGCCACAGGCAGTTGGACCCAACAGGAAGGGGAGCAGAGGGAAAATGCTTCGCCGACAAAATCGCTTGGCCTTGGTTCTCGGGACATAAGTCCAATATGTAAGAACCAGTTGAAAAAAATATTGCTTACATTTAGGAAGATTGTAGCTCTCATACACTAGATGCTTGCGCGTAGACACATGTTGTGAATGTGCGATAGGTGACCGCATGTACTCCCTCCGTCCGCATGTCGTTTTCGCTTTTCGAGAAACAACACTGACTAAATATATATTAAAAAATATTAATACTTACGATACATAATTAGTATCATTGGATATATACTTGAATCTAGTTTTTTAATAAACTTATTTAGAGATAGAAATATTATACGTATTTTCTATAAATCGAGTTAAAATTATCGGCACGTAAATCATGACGACAAATATTTAGAACCGAGGGAGTACCTTTTAAGGCCTGTTTCATATTCTTTTTTGGCGTGTTCTGCTGGTGAGAGACCCTTTTTAAGAAAAAAAGAATCATCTCTCGTGTCAAGAGAATCAAACCACTTATATATTATAAAAAGCATAACAAACAGTAAAGCTCAACCCAAAATTTAATTTTAGTATTATTTGGTCGTCCAAATAAACAAAAAAAAGTTGGATGGCCTCCACAGCTCGCCGCATAGAAGCATAGAAGTTTGGTGTGCATAGTACCTGTGTAACTCTTGTTTGATTTGTGACAAAATTTTGGCATGCTATAGACTATATAAGCCACATGGTCATTTGAACACTTTACAAATCCACACTAAAAAGTCCGCCGAACAAATTGTTCGCCGCAGATGTGGCAAGCTGCAGCTTCGCGTGACCAGCAATGGAAAACAGAGCCTACATTGCAGCCGTCTGTAGCACTTGACAGACTTGGAGGATTATAAGACTTGATGAAATTTTGTGTTTCACCTCGCTATAACCATGTCCTTTGACGTAACCAATGTGTTTCTCTTAATAAACCTAAAAAAAATTGGCCCAGGCATTTGTAAAAAAAAAGCAACTTTATTGTCTATAAAACATATTTTTTTGTACTGCCTAACAATGTGTCTTGGCCTCCAAGCTCAAGTACGAATCCTTGAAAATAAATCATAATGCCCACAGAGCCATACTGTGCCACGTACCAGGATGGATGGCTGTCGAGTTACCACAAATCCACAAATTTGAATTCTAGTTCAGGACTTTTTTTTTTTTTTTGCATCAGGGGATTGTACTGACAGTTTGAAACATCAATGACCAAACTGAAACTTTGAGAACTAAACTGAACTAATTTTGAGTCTTGGACCATGAAGATGTCCTAACGTTGTTAGACACGGAGGTCAGCTCCATGATCCAAGACTCCAAATCATGACTCTGTTGACTAACTCGTAGAGGATTTTCGTGGGTGCCTATCATCAATCTGTTGGCACTTACCAGATCTTTTACTATGGTTGAAAAAGTATCATGGTACCTCCCCGTACTTTTATCTTTTTCTATTTTTTAAATAATTAATTGAGAAATATATTATAGAAGGTATTTTAGTAATTGAGGTCACCGCAGCGCTTCCGACTGGCAAGTGAGACCGGCCGGGACAGGACACGCGCAAGAGCTGCGACGCTGACGGACGCGGTACATATACGGACAAGCGTATCCATTAGGTGTCTGATTGGGGTTTTGAGAGTAGACTGGAGCAAGCGTACCAATCGTGCCTCTGTAGTAATTTACAGGTATTAATACACAGCAAAATACCAGTTTTATATGTCCACGCGAAGGGAAAAGGAAAACAAGAACAGACAAGAGTACAAGGGGAGAAGAGCAAGAACAACTATTCTAGCTTGCAGTCGTCGTCGTCCATGAATGATGAATGGATGGAGCACGCAAGCGTACCAAATCGTTGTCTCCGCGCAACAATCCCGTGAACTCTACGGTCTCCGTCCCGGCTCGATAGGCGTCTCCTATGTCAGGGTGTTGCAGAGACCTGGCGGCTTGACATATCTCGGCCATGTTTGGGAAGTAGCACGCCGAGGTGACTCCAGCGGGCGTCCAGGCACCGTCCAGCTGCGCGACTGCGGGCGGACGGCGACGGCGGCTGCAGGGCTTGTGGGTGCCCTCGAATAAAATAGTAAAATGACCAATTTACTCTTATTCAAAAATAAAATATAAAATAGATGTTGTTCGCTAATTGGGTACTATCTCTATCTATTTTTTGTACTTTCAAGTACTTTTAGTTAGGTATCCTCTATTTTTTCACTGTCCGATCTTATCCAATAAATAATCCTTGTTTTTTTTTCAAACGAACAGGGCGCTAATTGGGTACTATCTCTATCTATTTGGTACTTCCAAGTACCTTTAGTTAGGTATCTTCTATTTTTTCACCGTACGATATTGTCCAATAAATAATCCTTTTTTTATTCAACCATCCTAAAATTTCTCCTTAACGAATGCACGGAATATATATAGCCAGCGGATCTGTAACTAATGCCCCAAAATTGTCAAGCCAAAAAGCTGTCGCAGGATCAAGTGCCTTTCCATCCATCACACCAGAACCAGACCAGCTACGGCGACTTTCGGTTTACCTCGCTTTGCTTAGTCCTCGTCTGCTCGGGTACCACCATTGACATCGTAGGTTCACCAACTACGCTTCTCACCAAACCCCCGGAAGACGACGTTGCCGCCACCTTTCACTCACGCCACCTCTCATGATTTGAGACTTAGCTTGTCCATAGGGAAGGACATCTTTATTTGGTTGGGTGGACCGAATTGACATAATCAAACGCAAAGTCTAGACGTACATATAATAGTTAGGTTCTGAATCCTTATCAGGTTGTTTGACCTACCTATCAGCACTTCTTACTCGTAGGTTTTTTTAAGGCCTGGTCTGGTCTATTTCCTCCCTCTAAGTTTACTCCCTATCCTATTAAATGTTTGATACATATATGAAGTATTAAATATAGACTAAAATAATAATTAATTATATAATTTATGACTAATTTGCGAGATAAATTTTTTAAGCCTAATTAGTCTATGATTTGATAATGTGGTGCTACAGTAACACGTGTGCTAATGACAGATTAATTAGGCTTGATAAATTCGTCTCGCGGATTACTGACGGATTCTGTAATTTATTTTTTTATTAGTATCCGAACACCCCAAAACTTTACACCCTAAATTTAAACAAGGCCTTAATGAAAATGGGTAAAATTCTCTCGTGCTCGGAACAGGGTTTTCCCCCTTTCTCTTGTCTTTGTTAATAAAAAATCATCTGTCTTAATAGTTCAATTTTGAAAAATGCTAAAATTCCACCCAGTAAATATTGAAAATGTCCACAGTTCTTGTAAAGCATATCTGCATCATCTGAAATAACAGCCCAGCCGGACACCTCTATGTTTAGCTTATATATATATATGCTAGAACTATATAAGATGATTTTTG